TTTGAGTATTTACTACAATAGTATCACTGTCTGGCGGCATTTTATTACTAAGCTCTTTTCTTAGTAAGCAGCTAGATGGTCTGTGTGTTTTTGTTTTCGTGAGTGAGACGTGTTCAGATTAGCTACTTTACCAGCTTCTAGCTCTATAGCGCGTGGGCTGCACGACTTGGCACTAGGTGCAATTGATTTTTTGGGATGGATTTGTATATATTTCGCTAAAATTGCACCTATTCTGAAAAACTCGAAGTTGGTGTTTTTTTTGTCAGTCAACCGGTAGATATGGCCAGATAAGAACATTTCCCTTTGTCAAATAGTAGACTGCGTGTCGTTTCCGTTCTTCCTGCATCTTTACCCAAAAGTTAATTCCCATTTCCAACATGGTATCAGCAGGCCTACTTATTGAAGCCCTGGAGGGCCTCGACGCGAACTCCTTCGTTAACGAAGCAGAGCGCGTCCGTGCCATGGACGCGCTGGCCCTGGCCTTAAGCAAAGTACATAAGCCGTGGGACATTGTTTGGCAGCACTGTTGGGTCAACCCGGCCACCAATGCATGCGTCAAGACGTTGATTGATGCGGGTGTCTTCAGCAAATGGATCAAGACCGGAGGCGGAGAGAAGACTTGCGCGGAACTGGCCGAGTTAACGGGTGCCGATGTAGTGCTTATTCGTAGGTTACATATCTGCTCTACTTAACTCATGATGAACATTCTGACGGCAATTCAGGACGCATGATTCGGCAAATTTCTGGGCAGAATCTTGCCATCGAGACCGCCGAGGACACATATAAGCCTACACCGTGGGTACGCGCTCTCGCTGAGGATCAGGCCCTCGCCAACGTCTATGGTGGATTTTATGGCTTCGTCAATTCCCCCATGTTCAGGACATTGCCAGCCTACCTCAAGAAGACGGGATACACGATCCCTACTAACCCCAACGACTGCAACTGGCAGTTCATGAGAGGCTCAAATGAAAATCTATTCCAGTCCCTTAGCGCCAACCCTGCCGCCGCAAGGGAATTCAATGATGCCATGGAGAGTCACTCCAAGCATAACTTGACGCCCTGGGTTGATGTTTACCCAACTGAGACTCTTGTGAAAGAGTCCAAGCCTGACCGGCCCCTAGTCGTCGATGTCGGTGGTAGCAAGGGCCACGACCTGACCAAATTCCATCTGCGCCACCCTGATATTCCTGAGGGCAGTCTGGTGCTCCAAGATCTGCCCGATATTCTCAAGGAGTTGACTATTGACGACACCATCTCCATCCACCCTCATGACTTTTTCGAACCACAGCCCGTGAAAGGTGCCCGTGTCTACTTCATGCACAACGTGCTGCACGACTGGGAAGACATACAGGCGAAGCAGATCCTTTCTCACCTTGCCGAAGCTATGGAACCCGGATACTCGAAGCTTCTCATTCACGAAAGCTTGGTTAGCTCTGTAAAGCCGCTCGCTCGTGTGACAACGTCCGATATCACCATGATGGCGTGCCTTGGTGCGAAGGAGAGGACGGAGGCTGAGTGGCGGGCGCTGGTGGAGAGTGCGGGATTAAAGGTGCTTAACATCTGGAGACCACCTCACTCTGTGGAAAGTATTATTGAGGTAGAGCTAGCTTGAATTTTAGAACCTTTCGTTGTACAAGGTAAATAGTAATTGCTTTATTTATGTACACTCAATATAAATATATTAATATAGCACTCTTACTTCATTATACGAATTACTAGAGTCTTTCTACTTAAATTTATTGTAAATTACGTGTTCAATCGAAGAGTTTTTTACACGATTTTATATTAACCTACAGTATGAAAGAAGAGTTATAAGAAGAGTAGAGCTATCATATAATATCTCTTACTTTTTACTCTTTTCTCTAAGATTGCTCGTATAGAGGAGTTCCTATAACTAAGTATTCTTTAAGGTAGGCACGTGATATCATTATATGTTCTATTCACGGTGTAGCCACTTACAATTAGAAGTTTAGCTATAGAAAGAGATACTTTAGCTAGAAATAGTTATACCTTAGCTAAGAAGTAGTAATTTAGCTATGAAGTAGTACTTTAGCTAGAAGAAGTCGCACTTTGGCTAGGAGAAGTGGTACTTTGGTTGGGAGAAGTGGCACTTCGCCTGGCGAAGTCTTAATACTAATTTATATAGAGTTAACGGCAAACGATCAAGGATGTTATCGCTGATCTAGACGCACTTGTCACGTTGCTCACAGCGGTCCGCGACTGAGCTCAGCACCCGACCAGAGTTGCTAAGCTAGAGCTATTCCGGGAGCGACAGATCATCGGTACGCTGTAATTGGTGTTCACTATCCATAGCCAATCTATCTTTCGCGCCCCCACACTAATCCGCACCGCCCGCCCAGGATCCAACTGATCTACAGTACAGCCAACCAGCTGTTGACCAGCAAACTGAACACTACAGGCGCAGTGTCTTTGTTACACTGCAGAAATGTGGCACGGTGTTCACCCTCTTGGTATATATATCGCCTTCTTATCGATGCAGTAGGTTAAGAGTAAGTCGAGCCCACGCCGCCATTCATTCTTCTTCTCAGATCATCTCACATCCGCGTTTCGTATCTCCACGCAGTATGTCATCACGCTATGATGCTCTCCATGCTGGCGATGAACCGAACTATTCTTTACAACTACAGGAAGACCGGGATGTCAGCGTGGCAAGCGAGGATTGGATTAACTCTTCACAACGACACACAGGCCAGAATGTTCGCGCGATGAGCGAGGATTCGACCATTTCTACCCAGATACACGAGGACCAAAGTAACACTGCGGCGAGCGAGAGTTGGATCAATACTGCACAGCAGCAAAAAATTGAAGATACCCAAGCGTCTATAGTCTCTTACCACAAGGCTGAAATGTCTCTACAGCGACCCATGACAGTATGCGTATGATTCCTCCAATACGCACGCGAATCTAACAGCATATGCAGATCTTCCGTAGAGTCGGCAAGCTACCTTGCACCCTACTGCTTCTTAGCGTCTTTGGAACTGCGGCATTCGTTATCTACATTACCTTTCTCTGGTTCAGAGCAAGTGGAAAACAGACCTGGAAAAATATCGCTCCTTCTGGCTGGATGACGAGATCTTTCGCCATTGCCGCTGCTGTGCTTCGAACATCAACCAATATACAAGCTGGCCTTGGATCATCCATGCTTGCCGCTATTGCGCTTGAGAGCACTGCCGGAGTCGCCCTACAAGATTCAGTCCCGTTGTCTTTGATGCGAGCGGCGTCAGCTGCACCATATGCATTATTAGCACACCACAGGGTCGGGCGCAACGGGCTGAACTGGTTACTTCTTTTATTGGCGGCCATTATATCGATTACCACGATTTCCCTTCAATTTACATCAACAATCCTGCTAGCCGACGTGAACGCAGGCTTTCTTCCAAGGTAAGTCTACGTCAGCGATCTCTTATAATTCATGACAAGTGATAATAATCTGAACAGTGGGCCTGCACCTTACACGTATATTTTCCCCATTTCCAATTCCCCACTAGGGGGAGTCTGACGGCCAACTGGCAAAGTGTTCCGCGCCCATGGCCTGTATTCGCAGAATACATAGAAAACAACTCAGCTGATGGTTCACTGGGCTATTCAGACACAGGTTCCACGATGAGGGCTCTTTTACCATTTAGCAATACTCAGTCTCGATCTCCCATTCACATCTACGAAGGTCCAGCCTCCGTCATCGATGCGCGCACGATTTGCGTTAGACCAAAAATTACGGATACTCATCTGACACACGTCGACTTCGAGCCAGTCATACTTCATGGCAATATTTCCGTCCCAATCGATCTTCTATCAACCCTCTGGAACGAAACTCCTTTTAAGAGCTTCGGGCCAATGGAGTTTGCGTGTGAGCCGTCAAACAACTTTGGGGACAGCTACTTCCGATACCCTCTTGGTAATCGCACATCAGCCTGGGATCTTAGCATTTGCGATTTAGGACAGTCAAATGTGTTCCTTACGAGTTCCTTCAAGCGGACCGAACCCGCGCTATCTACCCCCTCCCTCTTGATGGATTATACAGCCGATAGCAGAGCAAAGCGTCCGACCAACTGGACAGGCCCCTCCACTAAATTTGCAAACTTTGATGAAACGACCCCGGGGCTACGTTATCATGATAGGAACAAATGGCTCGATTTCAAAGAAGACCCTCAGACTTCAAACTGGTCGTATGTAAGCTACTTTGGAGATACGAAGCTAGGCTATAGTCTCTGTTTTCCAGAGTTCCAAGCCTATGTTCTCAACATATCAGTGAGTTCTCGGGCGCCTCTGGAAGAGCCAATGTACTTCTATGACACAGAGCGAAGTCAATTCCGCTATGATCATATACGAAAGCAGCTAGTTCCATCATCGAAACTTTCTCTGGAAGAGTGAAATGTCTTTTCTTTGAGCCCAAGGTCCTGGTTACTTTCTTACAAGGTTAACGAAGACCGTCCTTTTGGTGCCATGCAGGATATAATTATGCTCACGGATTCAAGTCATGATTCTGAAAAAATTCATCCAACATTGCACTTGATGGATGATTTCAACATTGCAGGATCTCAATCATATGTGAATATTGGAGGACTTGGATTAGAAATTCTACAAGAGGGCGGGACTCCAGCTGAAGCAATGCAAAGCATGTTGATGAGCGTTGTACTTGCAGACTACCAGCGTTCTGTTTTCACGGAAGTTCCCAATGGCACAACGAGCAGTACAGCCGCCTTACGTAGCTTTTTTATCACAACCCAGGTGCCTGGAGGCAATGGACGAACTACAGCCAACCCCGCCGGAGCGACACGATCGTACGTTATAGTCATAGTCGCCACAGCTATACACAGCGGCGCCGTACTTGTAATCCTTGTGCTATTTATCACAAGCACCAAAAACACCCTTATATGGGAGAGCTGGCATATGATCGCCCAAAGTATCAGCGCAGTCACCGAGCCTTATCTCAACCAGGCAACTCTGGCCACCGACGCCGGGATCAAGAAGCAAATGAAGATCGATGGTACTTTTGGTCAAGCTGTGTTCATCAGAGCCGATGACAGTGGAGTCAGAGCTAAAGTTGGTGTTGTTAGACAACGGTCGAAGAGCACGAGAGTACAAAAGGACTCCCGGAGTGGTCTTCTGATGGAAGAGCTGAGGTCTTTTGAGAAATGTAGAAAAATAGACACATAACAAACTATTGTTGAATAGTTGATTCACATCCATCGATAAAGCAATGTGGTATTATCTGAACGTTGTTAATGTAACGTGCTAGATAGCTCACTCAATATTACCAACCTAAACACACCTCCTCATCTACATTACCCCACCTACCCTTACTCTACATATATCCATCATCTCGCAAGCCTCTCATCCAAAAACATCCCGGAAATATGACCTAATGGTAAGACGTCTGCACAAAAGGGCCTTAGCGTCTCCAGGCAACAATCCACAGAAGTTAATGGTTGGGGCGCCCCAGTGAGAGGAGTTCATAACAAGAAACTAATTCGCCGGGCGGTTGTAATTGAAAAGATATATATTATTATTATTATTATTATTATTATTCCATTATAGTCCTGTATCAGCCGTTGGCTATGTAGGACTTTGGCCAAAGGCCGTTCTATCTAACTAGTTACAATTTGGTACGTTGTGCTGTATTGCGTGACTATGGTGCTTCGGCCTTTGTCTAGTTAAGCTAGTACTAGCTTTCTAGACGCCTGGTGCTAAAGAGCAGTTTGGTAACAGGGAGAGATATAGAGCAGCTAGGCTGCCTTCTAGCGAGCTCTCTTAGGGGATAGGAAATAGTGCTAGTAAAATCAAATTCGTTGTTCTTTGTTTTTCTTCTTTTCTTCTTATTTTTCTTATTTTTCTTCTTTCTAGCCTTCTTGGCCTACATGCCACTTTCTTGTTCCTATCTTCGTGCTAGTAATAAAAGCTAGAGTAGCTTCTATACCGCTCGTAGTGTGGAGTAAGAGTGGGAGTTTAAGTACTTTCTAGCCTAGAGTCTTTTTAAGTTAGTTTCTCTCTGCGCTATAGAAACCGCAGTATAGAAGTAGGTGCTCTGCTGTTTGTGGTCTTCCGCATTTACAGAGTTCTGTTTCTCTTCTTTTTACTCTCTTTAGATAAGCATTGAAGTATCCGTGCCCTATCTTAAGAGAATAGAAAGAGCTTGAAATCTCTCTTTTGGTGCTCTTGGGATTACTAGTTGGTTTTTCAGCTTAGGTTAAAGATAGCTCCGTAGCTAGTCTTCTTTTCTCTTGCTTTCTCCCTATACTTTCTCACTCTTCTGCCTGGCTAGCTCTTTAAAGGAGCTT